ACTCGCTCTTCGCTGTCGCCCAGAAGAAGTACGCGTACATTTACGACCACACGGGCGCCGAGGCGCACTGCCTCCGCACCATGAGCGACCCCAAAGCGCTCGAGTTCCTTCCGTACCACTTTCTCCTCGCGTGCGTCGGTGGCGGCGGCGTCCTCTCGTACAACGACGTGACGACAGGGACGCAAATCGCCAACCACAAGACCAAGCTCGGCATGTGCGACGTCATGGTCCAGGTGCGTCATCTTCACCAACCCGCAGCATCGAGCATGGAGGTTGGCGTAGAACAAGCACAACGCCGTCATCAACCTCGGGCATGCGAGCGGCATCGTGACGCTCTGGACGCCCAACCTCAACGAAGCGGTCGTCAAGATCAAGTGCCACGACGGCCCCGGTAGGAACATGCCATGCAAAGACGACTCATGGATGTATGTAGTGCGCGGCCTCGCGGTGGACCGTAGCGGCAAGTACCTCGTGAGCACGGGCAGCGACCACAAGATGCGCGTGTTCGATCTGCGCACGTACAAGCAGCTGCACCAGTACTACCTCCGCGGCATCGCCGACGCGATCACGATCAGCGACCGCGATATGATCGCCGTGGGCTACGGCCCGAACGTCGAGGTGTGGCACAACGCGCTGACGACCAAGGCGCAGGCGCCGTACATGACGCACCGCATGCCGGCGCGCCAGGCGACGAGCATCCGCTTCCGGCCGTACGAAGACGTGCTCTCGATTGGCCACTCCAAGGGCCTCGCGAACATTGTGATTCCGGGTGCTGGTGAACCCAACTTTGACTCGTTCGAAGCCAACCCGTTCGAGAGCACCAAGCAGCGCCGCGAGACCGAGATCAAGTCGCTCCTCGAGAAGCTCCGTCCCGAGATGATTACGCTCAACCCGATGGCGATCGGCCGCATTGACGCGAACGCGAACGACGAGCATGGCGAGAAGATCGAGACGATGTACAAGGCCAACAACGAGGAGGCCGCGGGCAAGCCCAAGAAGAAGATGCGCGGCAAGAACCGCCCGTCGCGCAAGCTTCGCAAGAAGCAGCAAAACGTGGTCGACATTGAAAAGCAAAAGTACCGCGACGCGCTCGAGAAGAAGGCCAAGGACGAGGCCAAGGCCAACGCGGACAAGCAGTGGAAGGACAAGGTCGAGAGCGCGCCGACGGCCCTCAACCGCTTCTACAAGAAACCATAATCTATGTACTACTTCGCACCTTGCATCCCGCCAGCGTTTGTGGAGACAGGAGACCAGGCGATACAGCCGGTCATAAGGGATCTCTCCAAGTACCTATGGCAGGTACGCGCGCCATGCTTGGCGCTCGGAGCAGTCGACCTTGGAAGCCAGCATGGGCGCATGGGCGTTGCTCGCGACCGGTCATGGCGGCGATGCTGCGTCAATCGAGGTGCGGCCGTATCCGGAAATTCCGGAAAAGTCGAAAATATGGGATGCAAGCGCATTGGTGTTGTTCTTCCCGAGGGTCCTCGTCGCCACGAACCATCGGGCGACGGAAGCATGGCGGAGAGAGAAGATGGAGGTACGAAGACGCCAAGACGTCACGCATGGGGATGGCCATGCGCTGGACCTCGTGCTCGCCGGCCATGGACCTCCAGGCCTCATCAACGCGACGATGCTCATGAGTTTCCGTGGATAGACCTCGTCGCGGGCAAGAAGCGACGGGCACAGGACGCAGGACCATGGCCGACGAGCGCCGTGAGCGCCGGCCCGGCGTTTGTGCCGAAAGTGCGGCTCGGCAAGCGGTACCAAGCGACGATTCCGCCGCTGCAGTCGACCCTTGACGGCGCCGCGACCACGGCGCGCGCTCGGAAAGACGACGACGACGACGAGAACGACGACGGCGACATCGAGATGGATCCGAGCTCGGCGAGCGCGAGCCCGAGCATCCCCCACCAGGTGTATTCGATGGCTGCGCTCAGAGGTACCACTCTTCCATCCGACCGACGCGCTGAGTGTGACGACAGGCGACAAGCACGTCGACAAGTACATCAAGTTTGCGACCTCGCTCTGCAACGGGTACATGCATGGTACCGTACACGCGACGACCGCGAACGCGCTCTCGTACTTGCACCGCCACGGCAACGACCCGATCTCGGCCGCGTGCCACATCTACGCCGCCCACGGCTTTGGCATGCTGCCCGAGCCGCGCGCAACCGACGATGCGAACGCGAAAAAGTCGCAAAAGGCCAAAGTCCAAGAGTGGATGGTCCGCGCGCTTACGGTCATCGGCCACGACGTCATCGACGACGCCAGCGTGCGCGCGATGCAGGAGCTCGTTCGGTCGTGTCCGCCGTCCGAAGCCGAGAGCAAGGAGCTGTACGTTCTTAAGGCGACACTCCAGCGCGTTGACGACTGGCGGCAAGCGTGCGCGGATCTCGGCGACCGCAAGTGCACAGTCGCCGACATTCAAGCCTTGCTGTACACGGCCAAGGACCTCCGCTGCGTCCTATCAGAGCGTGACGCGCTCAGCGCACGGGTTGCTGCGTTTGAAGACGCCAAGAGCGTCCTCTTTAAAACCATGTACGACCGTCCAAAGGGCCGCAAGATGGTCAAAATCGATCTGCGCACGGTACCTTCTTGAGGATGGATGGAACTCAGATCTGACCATATCGGTGTAGCTCAAGGAGCTCCTCGGGCACGTGCAGCAGTACGCAATCCACTTTGGCCAAGAAGACACACTCGAGCGCATCATTTCGGACGCCGAGGATCTGGAGGCGCAGATCTCGTCGCTCTTGGCGATGGACAAGGTGAGCGTGCCGGCGATCCGGGACATCCTCGCGCGCGTCGATGGTGTCCCCGTCGACCTGCAGAGCATCGTTGAGCCGCTAAAATCCAAGATGGTGTCGGCGCAAAGATGGCTCGAGCGCGCGCGCAAGTGCATTCCGCCGACGAAGCGGCAGTCGTCTCGCAACGTGCACGAGTCGAATCGGTCCAAGATGGACCTCTCGACGGTTCACGACCTTGTGAAGAACGCGCCGATTGACGACCAGTCGTCCGAGATGCAGGAGATGGAGGACCTCCTCGCGTACGCCGACGAGTGGTCGACGCGCGTCCAGAGTGCGATTGCGGACGCCAACGCCGCGACCATTTCGGTGGACGCGCTCCGAGAACTGTTGGACGAAGGCCACGACATGCCTGTCGTCATGGAGCAGACGTCGCATCTCGCGGCCGTCATCGAAGGCCGCGAGTGGGTCGACGAAGCCACCGAGGCGTTGGCCGACAAGAGCTCGCTCGACCGTCTCCGTCACATCATCAAAGACGTGGGTCTTGTTCTGTCTACTCCATCGTGTCGACTTCCGTTTGCGTAGGCGCAAAAGCTGCGAAAGCGCATGCATCCCACGAGCCGCGACCTGTGGAAACCGAGCGTCGAAGTCGAGATGCTTGCGTGCATCGAGCAAGCCGAAGCGTGGCTCTCGGAGCTCCACGAGCTTCTTGGATCCGCGACGTGCGCGCGCCTTTTTGCGGGCGAGTCGAGTCGGTTCAAGGGGCCAAAGCACACAGTAGCAACCAAACCGTCGGTCGCTGCCGTGCAAGCCAAGCTGAGCGAAGCCGCCTCGTTGCGCGTCGACGTCAGCGCGTACATTGAGCCGCTTGAAGGCCTTCTCGGAAAATGCGCCGAGCTCGAAGCGCTATGTGCGGCAAGCCTCGCAACCACGGACGGCGACCAGGCGTTCCAGAAAGCATTGGCGGCGCTCGAGGCCTTGGACGCGTTCGCATGCTACGTCGCCAAGACGGACGACCTCCGAGTCGCCGTCGTCACGTCCCGGGATTGGCTCACGCGCGTGCGTGGCATCTGCAATGCCAAGCAAGTGTCGGGCCGGCGCCTCACCAAGCGCAGCAGCACCTCGGGCAACGACCACGGCGTCACCGCCGATGTGCTCTCGGCGCTCCAAGCGCAGTGCGACTCGCTGGTGTACCGCTTTCCCGACGACGAAGCCGCCCTCGCTGCAGAGGTCGCCGCGTCCGCAACGTGGCAAGCGCGCGTGCAAGCGTGGTTGAAGGACAGCGTCCCGTCGCTGCTGGACGCGTGCGACACGCTGCAATCGATGGACACGCAGTATGTGGCGGCGCGGCGTGCCTCGTGGGAAAATCTGCAGCAGCGCATCGCGGCGGCGCCGCCACCATCGCCAACGAGTGACGAGACCGTGACGGCGGAGCACCGAAACGACATGGACGACGAGACGGCGCCGCGCGAGAAAGAACGACGCTGCGACGCGACGCCGGTGCCCGTGATTGCGCACACGACGGAGCTGCCGTCGCTCGACTCGTCGATTGTTGTGGACATTGTGCGCATGCTCTCGGGCACACGACAGAAAGAGTCGAGTGACGCGGCGACGTCGACGGTGGACTGGCGTCCGATCTCGGACGCGATCGAGACGGGCCTCAAGTACATCGCGGCCCTCGAGACGCGCGTCAAGGATGACGAGCCCGAGGTCGAGACGAGCGACGCCGAGAAGGACGCGGTCCACGCCGTTGAAGGAGCGGCTGCGCAAGCGCTCGAGCTCCTCGGGCAGTCGAATGCGAGCATTGCGACAACCGAAGCGTCGATGCTGCAGGCGCTCATCAAGGCGCTCGACTGGTTTAGCGACGCCCGCGCCGTCATCCAAGGCGAGAACGTGCACACGCTGACCAAGATCGTCGAGACGGGTGGTGCGCTCATGGCGTCGAGCGCGCCGCCACATCCGAGGTGGAACGAGAGTCTCTTTTGGCCGCTGCCGCTGCTCGAAACGTTGCGCGCCGACACCCAAGCGTGGATCACGTCTCTCGAAGCGCGCCTGCACAGCAACGCGTTTCCGCTGGAGGACGTGGAGGCGGCGATTGCGCAGGCCGACGCGCTCCAGGCCGACGACCGCGTGCTCTGGGTCGAGCTCAAGAAGACGAAAATGTGGCTGCTCAAAGCGAAGAAGACGCTCAAGCCACGCGTGACGACCAGTACGCGCATGCCGCTCCACGCGGCGTCGGCGCTCGTCGAGGACGGGTCCAAGCTCAAGGTGATTGCGACGGCGTGGACGAATCTGCACACGCACGTGGCGCAAGCATCGGCGTGGGAAGAGCGCTTGAAGGCCTCCGGCCTCGATGCTGGGCACGCCAAGGTTGCCGTCCTCGTCGAGCTCCTCCACGAGTACACGACCGGTCGGTTCCTCATCGACTTTGACATGCACCGCGACGTGCTCGTGTCGGCGACGGAGCAGTACTGCATCTGCCGACAGCCGTACGACGGCCTCATGATCGGCTGCGACCTCTGCGACGACTGGTTCCACGATACGTGCATTGGGCTCTCTAAGGAAAAGGCCGAGAAGGTCGAGGATTATGTGTGTCCGTCCTGCGGGCTCCTCCAAGAGCTCAAGCACCTCCTCGACGGCATCGACGGGTCGACCAAGCAGCTCTTTGAGCTTGAAGACAAGGCCCATGAGAAAGCTTTTAGCGTCGCGATGCGCAAGGTCAAGAAGGAAGAGCGGGACGTGGACAAGGCGCACGTGGCCGTCATGGAGCTCCAGGCCCAAGTGACGGCGATTGGGCAGCACGTTCAGTACCTCGAGAAAATGCACGAAGAGACGCCGCCCAAGTACCTTCCGTCGATCGCGCTGCCGTTTCCGCAGCACCCGTCGCCGACGGGGATGCAGCCACTGTACAAGGCGTCCTCGTATCCGGCGCCCATGCTCCGGAGTCCGTATCACAACCACGCGGCAGGGTCGTCCATGAGCAGTCTCCCGCCGCTGCAGCCGCTCCCGAGCATCCTGTCCAAGACGAACGGCCTCCCGCCGCTGCTCGTGGACCCTCACCACAGCAGCAGCAGCAGCAACAACATGTACCACCACCATCATAATCATGGCCACCACCCGACGCACCACCACCCGTCGCACCTCCCGTCGCCGTCGCACCACGCGCCGATACAGTCCAAGCCTTTGGAGCCGAGTGCTGCCTCGGGCACGTCGGCGCAGGAAATCGAACTCACGCGCTTCAAGATGGAGCACTACAAGCTCAAGCAGCTGGCAGCCGAGGCCGAAGTGACGCTGGAGAAGGGCAAGGAGCGCGCGGTGGCCGCTCGCGGCGGCATTGAGACGCTCATCTCGACCCGCGACGTGCTGTTGCCGCAGGCACAGGCGTGGTGGCGCATGGCGTGCGCGCACCTCGCGTCGCTCGTGACCGAGAAGGACGCGTTCGATCTCAAGCAGCTGCGCGTCGTGGCGTCCATGTGCGAGCCGTACAAGGCGACGTTCGCCTCGGTCGCGCTCATGCAAAAGGTGCTTGTGACGATTCCGTGGACGGTGGAGGCTGTCTCGCTCCTCCACGGCCACCCCAAGCCGGCGTACGAAGGCCTGGACCGCGTACTCAGCGAAAGCTCGCACGATCCCAAGGCGCTCTCCGCCCTCCGCGGCGTCCTCACACGCATGGATGCGTGGGTCTCCAAGACCAAGAAGATCGTGGCCAAGCTCGTGAATACGGGCAAGAAGACGGAGACGGCCAAGATCCAAGCCGTTCTCAACGAGTACATGAAGCTGCCGCTCACGTGTCCGTGGGGTGCGCGGCTGCAGTCGTTCATGGCCGACGTGGCCGAGTGGGAGGCGTCTGGCGCGACGCCCGTGCTCATGCCGACGCTCTCGATCACGCCGCCGAGCTCCCCGATCGCGACGGCACCGAAGCGCAAGGCCAAGCCCAGTGGTAACAATCCCAAGCGCATCAAGACCGAAGACGACGTCTCGAAGCGGTCGAAGGCCAAGGCCGCCAAGGCGAAGAAGGCCGACAAGTGCGAAGACGACAATGCACATATGATCGACGTGGCCGAAGCGCCACCTCCGCCACCGAGCGCGCCGTAACCAGCTGCGTGTACCAGAGAGACCGACGCGGTCGTGGAAGTGCTCCAAAATAATCAAACCTCCGTGTCACCCATCGCGTTGGTGGCAACCACCTAGGTCGTCGCAGCCTCCTAGCTCGCCGAGCAGCGCTGGGTAATGGGCATGACGCGATTGCGAGACTGCTAAAGGCTCTGGCAAAGGCAGTCGCGCCCTGTGATTGCGGTTGATGGGCCACGAGCTCTGGCTGATGGTTGACGATGGTCATCCTGTCTCGGTTGCAGCTGCATCGCTTCCATGCACTTGTCTTCTTCTTCGTCGCATGCAGCGAATCGCACTGGATGCTGCGCTTGCCATCGCACCGATGTTGGCTCCATCATGGAAGCTCGGGTGCAAGGACGCAATGGAATCTCGCCGCCTGTGATTGGTCGAAATTCGAGGTCCGGGTTTGTTCCGGGCGAGTCGAGAACCATTTGGTTGCTGGACGTCGCAATGGGCACCGCCAACAGCAAGGACGCGCGGCCGGCCGAGAGCTCGACCTCGGCGAATACTTCGAACGAGTCGATGGCCGAGACGGCGCTGGACATCGTCCTCACGGGCCTCATGGTGTACACGTCGTACCGCTGCGCCGACTACCTCGTCAAGGTAGACAGGCGATCCGCGGGTCTCACCTCATGAGCATGCAATGTACTAGAGCATGGGCCCAATGCTCGACGACTTTTGGAGCGGCAGCGCGAGCAAGGCCAAGCTGAAGCGCCGCCTCCAGAAAGCGCAACGGCCCGTCTTTACAATGAACCACTACGAGTCGATCATCGCCGGCGACCTCGTGGACCCGAGCGATCTCGGTGTGGGCTTTGACGACATTGGCGGCCTCGAGGACCAGAAGCGCGAGCTGCACGACCTTGTCGTATTGCCGCTCCAGTCGCCCGAGTACTTTCAGTCGAAGCTCCTCTCGGTGCCCAACGGGATTCTGCTCTATGGCCGACCGGGCACGGGGAAGACGCTTCTCGCCAAGGCGATTGCCAAGGAGTCGGGCGCGTTCTTCATCAACCTCAAGATCTCGACGCTCATGAGCAAGTGGTTTGGCGAGTCCCAGAAGCTCGTCAAGGCCGCGTTCTCGCTCGCGCAGAAGCTCGCGCCGTGCATCATCTTTATCGACGAGGTCGACTCGTTCATGGGCGCGCGCTCGAGCGGCGCGTCCGACCCGACGTACAACTCGATGAAGACCGAGTTTATGGCGCTCTGGGACGGCTTTGTCGAGAACTCGCCCAACGGCGGCTTTGGCGTCATCGTCCTCGGCGCGACCAACCGCCCGGCCGACGTCGTACGTCTCTAGTGTGTCCTCCTCCATCTGCATTCTCAACGTGACGCGTAGGATGCGGCGTTTCTGCGGCGCATGCCCCGCACGTTTGAAGTCGAGCTCCCGAACGCCCAGCAGCGCGAGCAAATCCTCTCGGTGCATCTCCGCGGCGAAGCGCTCGGTCCCGACGTTACGCTATCGCAGTTGGCGCGCGAGACGGACAACTACAGCGGAAGCGACCTCAAGGAACTCTGCCGCGCCGCGCTCATGCTGCCCGTGCGCGAGCACATTGAGATGTGCCGCGAGCACCTCCGCGCCAAGCGTCCACCGCCGAGCGACGTGACGCGCCGCCCGCTCTCGCGCCGCGACTTTGACGTGGCCAAGAAGCGCGTGCAGGCCACGGGCGAGACGGCGTACGCGTACGCGGCGGCCAACGAGCCGCAGCAAGGGCCGCCGATGATGACGCCCGAGATGGTTGCGATGATGGCCATGGGCATGCAGCACTTTATGCAGGCGGCCGCGCGTGGCCCGAACAGCAACCACCAGTAGAAGCATAGTAGAGTAGCAGGTATGGACTAGACGACTAAGATGATGCATTTCGGAGTGCTACGACGATGGTTCTGGCTTCTTGAGGAGACTGAGCGCCGAGATGTTGCGCTTCACCGGGCGTCGGAGCGGCGGCGACGACGCGACGAGCACGAGACGCTTCTTAGCCGCCGGACGCTGTGGTCGGTCGGGTGTTTTCATGACCATGGGCTGGAGCTTGGTTGGCGGTGGCGGCGCGTTGGCGACCCGAGGCGAGTCAAACTCGGACGAACTCCTTGTGAGCGGGACCGACGACGACCTGCTGAGCAGACTACTCTTGATTAGTGGCTTGACCGTTGGCAGCAGAAACTCTTTAAAGGAGCCAAGCTGCTGGACGGGCTACGGTGGCAGTGAGAATCTGGTTTGCACTGGCGAGAAGCGCATACCAGTGGGTTGGTCGCGGCGGTGTGCGATGTGGCCTCTTGGCTAAGGACTTCAGCGATGACGTATTCGCTGCTCGATTGGCGCGTCATGGGCTCCTTCACGAGCTCCTTGGGCAGCGTGAGGGGCAGCTTTAACGCCTGCAAAAAACATGGTCAGTACGGAGGCTGGCCATGTCGTCGATACCGGTGCCGGCTTGGACTCTGTCGACTCGATTTCAAGCTCTTTCAAGAGCCGCTTCATTGTCTTGGGCAGGAGACGCTGGAATCTTGACACGATCGTGTCGAGGATAAACCACGAGAAGGCCGAGTGCTCGTGATGCAGCTGCTCGTGGCTGCTGCTCTGCATCGAGGCAGCGTCCATGGTCATCGCCAAGAGCGAGAGCAGCGAAATAAGCTCCTTCTTCTGGACCTTGGACCATGGGTCCTCTTTCACACTTGCTTGCAGCGTTAAGCGACAGAGCACCTGCAGCTGGAGCAGCGCCAGCTTGTTCGCAGGCGCGTCCTTGCCCTTGAACGTCGCTGCGGGCAGGATAAGCTGGGCGAGGCCATCCGACGCAGCCGTCGACTTGGCCATCGCGACGCACGCGTCGGCGAACGCGGCCGTCTTGTCGTCGCTCGGTGTGCCCGTCGCCGCCGCTGCGTACAGAGCTCTCACGTCTTTCGCCATCGTTTCACAAGTCGCAAAGGCGCCAATTCGGTTAAGTCCGACTTGAGCGTTAAATCCGACTTGAGCCAGCAAGCCGAAACCGTTAAGCGAAACCGGTTCCAGCATCCACACAGCGCTGCTTCGACGACACCAGCGTGCATTGGCGCCCGTCCTACCAAAGCAAGACAACCACAGCGTCTGGATCAGGCGGTACGAGCGCTACATCGGTGGCCACAGCTGGATCAACGACGGTTCTTCTTCTTGCAAGCCCAACCTTACGGTTAAATGGCGAAATTGGGTGAAATCAGACATCTTGCATTTATCGGGTTGCCAGCCACGAGCGCCACAGCCAAAGGCGGTTGCAGGCGACCAAATGCACACGCATTTCCAAGCTTGAATAGGCCAAGGCGCTGGATGGCGCAGGTGCTCCGAGGACTCGCCGTCTCGGCCCCAAACCGCAACGTGGGGCTGCTGGGCGGCGCCATTTCTCTTTAAGTACGGTCTGCTCCTAACATACGAAATTGTAGAGGGATTTCAGACCTCGTTAAAGTACGCATCGTACTTGGCCGAGCGTGTTTTGGCGGCAACGATCCATTTTGGGTTGTCGATCATGGAGGACGAGACGTATATGGACGAGGCGACGTCGGGCGTCGTCATGGCGGTCAACATCCGCCACAAGAAGACGCAGAACGAGGTCGGCGTCGCCGTGCGCCGGCCCCGCGCCCGCAACTCGTGCGTCCGCAACGCTGACGGCGAGGACAAGAACCAGTGGGAGCTTGTCCTGTACGCGTTCACGGACTGTAACCAGCTCTCAACGCTCGACAACCTTCTCGTGCAGGTGAGCCCGACCGAGTGTATCGTCTCGGACACGACCAACGACACCGAGGCCAAGCCGCTGCGCCTGCTGCTACAGGCCCACTCGATCGAGCGCGTCGTCGCACCCAAGGCCCGCTTCAAGCACGTGGCGTCAGTCATGGAAACCCACCTCTGTCGCTTGCTGGGCGTCTCGTCCGTTCTGGCTTCGCACCGCCATGAGCTCGAGATGGACCTTGCGATGGGCGCGCTTGCCTGCGTGCTCGAGTCGCTCTCGGTTCTCACGGACGCCGATGGGTTTGGCACGTACTCGCTCTCGATTGGCGACATGGACTCGTTCTTGCAGCTCGACCGCGCCGCCTTGACAGCGCTTAATCTGCTGCCTGACCCGCTTCTCGCGGGCAACACGACCATCTCGAACGGCAGCATCCTCGAGCTTCTCAACCGCGGCAAGACCGCGATGGGGAAACGCCTCCTCGAGCGCTGGATCCGCATGCCCCTCGTTGACGCCGACCAGATCGCTGCGCGCCAAGACGTGGTCGAGCTCTTTGTCGACGAGTCGAGCTTGCGCATGGAACTCCTCGACGAGTGTATGAAGTCGATGCCGGACCTCGAGAAGCTCGCGCTCGCGCTCGACAAGCAGAAAAATGTCAAGCTCGACGCCCTCGTCGCGGTCTACGACGCCGCCAAGTACGTTTTTCCACGTGTGCTTGCGGCCATCCGCCCGCACGACCGCCTCCAAGCGTCGTTCACGACGCCGCTCGCCAAGGTCGTCGACGACTGCGCCGGGTACATCTCGCTCATCGAGGAGCTCGTCGACTTGAACGCGCGGCCGCACGTGACCGTGAACGCCAAGCACGACCCGGCGCTCATGGAGCTCAAGCGCAGCATGCAAGAGACCGAAGCCGAGATCCAAGACGAGCACGAGCGCGCCCGCGACGACATTGGCGGCGACATCAAGTGCGAGAAGGACAAGGTCCGCGGCTTCGTCTTCCGCATCATCGACAAGAAGCAGGAGGAGCGCGTGTCCAAAGTCCCCGGCGTCCACATCTGCCAAGTGCTCACCAACGGCTTTTACTTTGTCACGCCGACGCTCAAGGCGCTCGCGAAAGACCACATGGGCTTTGTAAAGGAGTACGAGGTGCGCCAAGCCCACATTCTGTCGGCGGCCATCGAGGTCGCGGCCACGTACGTGCCGGTCGTCGAGTCGGCCGCGAAGCTCGTCGCCGCCCTCGACGTCCTCCTCGGGTTTGCCCACGTGGCGTCCCACGCGAGCTACTGCCGCCCGGTCCTTGGGACGTCGGCGGTGGCGCTCCAGCACGCGCGGCACCCGTGCGTCGAGCTCCAGGACGGCGTCGAGTTCATTCCCAACAACATTGAAATGGACGCCAAGAGCTCGCGCTTCCAGTTGCTCACGGGGCCCAACATGGGCGGCAAGTCGACGTACATTCGGTCGCTCGGTGCGATTGCCGTCATGGCGCAGATTGGCAGCTTTGTGCCGGCCTCCTCGGCCATGGTACGCACACCGTTGGTCGTCCTTCTCCTCATGTCGTATTAGCTGCCGATCATGGACCGCCTCCTCGTGCGCGTGGGCGCCGGCGACATGCAGCAGCGCGGCGTCTCGACGTTCATGCTCGAGATGCTCGAGGCGTCCGTCATCTGCAAGAAGGCGACCGCCAAGTCGCTCGTCATCATCGACGAGCTCGGCCGCGGCACGTCGACGTACGATGGCTTTGGCCTCGCGTGGGCGATCTCCGAGCACCTGCTCGCGCGCGGCTGCTGGTGCGTCTTTGCGACGCACTTTCACGAGCTCACGGCGCTCGCGACGGGGCAGACGCACGCCGGCATCGTCAACAAGCACGTGACGGCCGTGACGACGAGCGACGCGATCGCGATGGTCTACGAGGTCCGCGACGGTCCGTGCCTCGAGAGCTTTGGGATTTACGTGGCCGAAATGGCGGGCTTTCCAAAGGACGTGGTCGCGCACGCCAAGCGCAAGGCGAAGGAGCTCGAGCACTTTGAGATGCCCAACCCGCGCAAGAAGAAGACGCGGGCCGACCCGGTCGGGTTTCGCGCCGCCTTTGCATCGTTGCCGCTGAGCACGATGAGCGACGCTGACGTCGTGGCGGCCGTCAACCAGCTCCTTGACGCGTAGACTCACAAATACACCATGTTGTGTGAAGCGAGGGAGCGGCCAGCATGAGAGCGCAAGAGAGGAGGACGACGACGAAGAAGAAAGCACTGTCGTCAATATAGTAATATCTATTCCTGTCCAGCCTTAAAAGAGCGGCCGGGTCTGCGTCTGGCGCTTGGCGCCCAGTCGGTCGAACTGCGAGATCATCGAAGTCGTGCGCGCGGCGAGGTCCTTGGTCTTGGTGATGACCTGGCGGTAGACCGAGTCGACGCGCGGGTCCATGACGATCACGTCGCGCTGCGAGTCGATCTTGGCGTCGAGGCGCGCGTGGCGGATGAGGTCGACGATCCAGCGCTCGGCGTCGCCCTTCTCGTTCATCGCGAGCTTCTCGGCGAGGAGCGAGATGTCGATCGTCTCGTGGATGCGGCAGTAGATCTCGAAGCTCAGGAGGCGCGCGTTCTCCATAAAGTCGGCCATGTTCTTCTCGTAGAGGAAGAAGTCGGACGCGAGCACGTTCTTGCACTCGAGGAGCTGGACCTGCGCGAGCTCGAAGTCAAAGTGCACGTAGAGGCACTCGATGAACTCAATGATCGGGTCGCGGTACGCCTTGGCGTCGACCTGCACGATGCGCAAGAGCTCCTTAATGAGGTGGCGGCGCTTCTTGTGCAGGATGACGCCGGCCGCGAGGTACCGCATGAGCCACGGCGCGTTGGTCTGGATCGCCTCGAGGCAGCGGCTCTGCAGCATAAAGTCCACGATGGCGTCACGGCCGTCTTCGTGCCACGCAAACACGAAGAGCGACCAGTGGAGGAGCCACGTGCGCATCTGGAGCTGCTCGAGCGGGGCCTTCCCGCTGGCGTCGATCGCTTCGTTGAGGCGCGTAATGTCCGCGAGGGCGTCTTCCCACCGGAAGATGAGGATCTCGGTCGCGAGCTTACCCCAGAGCGCGTTCATGTACTTGTCCGAGCCCGTGGGCACGAGGAGGCCATAGTACGTCAGATACGTCAAGGCATCCTGGTAGTTGCCGCACTCGTACTGGAGCTTGGCGTACGTGTAGAGGCCTTCCAACACCGTCGAGGTCACGCCGTGGTTCTGCTCGAGGTAGACCGCGGTCAGGAGGCTGTCGTTCTGGAGCGCCATGACCTTCTCCTGGTTATCGAGCAAGTCCAAGATCGGTTTGCACGAGGCCTTGGCGGCGCTGACCGCTTCCAGGATCGCCTTGCGGCGCTGCTCAAACTCGGCGGGCACCTTGGCGGCGCCGTGGAGCGACTGGTAGATCTCCACGGCGAAGTCCGTCATGCTCGTGGGCTTCAAGAGGTCGAGCTTGGCCGCGAGGAGCTGCTTCTCGTCGTACATCTCGTTGGTGGTGAGGAACTCGATGAGCGGGAACATGAAGTGGAGGTCCATGAAGGGCGCGACCGTGTTGGTGAGGTCGTACTTGGCCATCGCGACGCCGTCGCCGTGCTTGGTCGTCGTCTCCGCCATCTTGGTTGCTGCCACGGAAAATGAGATTGAAAGTCGACTTCACCACTGGCTGCAAGCCAACCAACAATCGAATGACTTGGCTTCAGTATGCTTTTCACGCGCCGCGCGCTGATTGGGCATTGGCATGCCCATTACTGTGAGACTCGATATCGGATCCCAGAGACTTTCCTCGGCCACGGACGCGGCGACGCCCGTTGAGGCCACAACGTGCTGTTCGTTCTTGAGCCATCTTCTATTAGGAGCTTAGTTCCCATCGCTAGGTAGTAAGAAGCAGTGGTGGGAATTCTACAAGCGTCCCATGCTGGTCGACAGCTCTGGTGGGAAGCTCTGTGAAACACGCTATTTGAAACGGTACGACCTATAGGCAGGCTCATACTACGCGAGATGGCGTCGTTTCCTTGGCATGCCAAGCTGCTTCAACACACTTCGACGCGACCAATCCACCGACGCAACTTGCTGCATGCGCGACCAGGAGCTCGTTTTCGGGTGGCAAACAGGCTGCTCCGTACGCTCGAACGACTAAGGAACATCGGTGACATCGACAGCAGCGACGCAGCCTCGTCCGTTCTTGGGCACTTTGCTACCGGATGGTACGGATAAAGATCGCGTTGAAGATGATGCTACACTTCGGCAAAGATGCTACAAGCTGCAGTAGATCCCTGCACATACTACTAGTAGTGTAGGATTCCATGTTGGCGGTTCCCAGCGGCTTGGTGCGTGAGGATCCATAGCCTCTGCGTGCGCAACCGCGCGATCGCTGGTCTGTTCAGAGCCCTTTACGCAGCAGTATTTTACTTCGCGCAGAAGCCAGCGCTTCATGACGCAAAAGCGTCGTACAGAAAGCTCGGAGGCTGCTTTTACCATAGGAGGAAGCAAGAGACCTCATTTACAAACGTGAACTGTTCTACCATGATGACGACGACGCCCACTCCGATGCTTGGCTTCCTTGCGCTCTACATGCCGCGCACGAGTGCCAAATCCCAGCGCTACCTCGCCGCTGGCCTCCTCATGGCCATGCTCGTCCGCACCCTCGGGATGCGTCGCGTGCTTCTCGGCCTCCGCCCTTTTGTCTACAAGCTTTTGACTGCTGCCAAGGCAGCGTACGACACCCAGCTCCGTCCGTTGCTTGGCAGTGCCCAGACCATTGAGGCGCTGCAGACGACAGTCGCCGCCAAAGACACCACGATTGATGACCTCGCCGCCAACGTCGCCAACCTCCATGAAGCCGCACGGGTCCAGCGCGTGGCAACGACCGAGATCAGCGCCGACCTTAAGGTCCAAGTACATAATTTGAAGATTCGGCTCCACCGCACGACCGAGCGCGCAGCCCAAAGCACAGAGGCGCTGC